CAAAATACCATAGACCAGATGGCTTAAACAACAGAAATTTATTTTCTCACAGTTCTGGAGGCTGAAAGTCTGAGATCAAGGTGCTAGCAGGGTTTGTTCTCGGTGAGGCTTCTTTTCCTGGCAAAAAAAAAAAAAGCCATTTTTTTGCTGTGTCCTCACATAGTAGAGAGAGAAATTTCTTTTTCTCTTCTTTTCATGAGGTTACCAATCCTATTGGATTAAGACCCCACCCTTATGACCTCAGTTAGCCCTAATTATTTCCTAAAAGCCCTATTTCCAAATACCGTCACACTGGGTAAGAGCGTAACATATAAATGAGGAGCACAATTCATCCCATACCACCCACTAAACTACATGTTGTTTAATCTCTCTCTTTCTTTGCATATTTATAAAACAAGACAGTATGTATTCATCTGTGACTTGCCTGTTTCCAACAACAATATGCTTTTGAGATTCATTCATGTTGATATGTACAACTGTTTATTCATTTTTCAGGGCTGTATAGTGTTCCATTGTATAAATATTCCATAAAGCATTTACCTATTCACTTGCTGATGTCATTTGAGTTGTGTCTCATTTTTAGCTAATAGTGCTCTATGAACATGGAGTACATGAATGAGTATTTCTCTAGGGAATATGTCATGGAATGTAATTGCTGAAGTAAGGTCATCTTCAACCTTGCTGTTTTCCAAGTGGTTGCAGATTGCTGCTGTACTCTGACATTTTCCTTCGCTGTATCCTTGTCTCTTGCAATGCAACTTTTGAATGCCCCCATCAAGAGGATTTTTTTTTACTTCCAACCATTCTCTGTTGTTTAGGGTAATCTCTTATAAATGACATATATCTGATTTAAAAGTAAACTGATAATATTTGTCTTTCCACCATCAAATTTTAGTACATTTAAATTGGTTGTTTGGGTTCTATCACATAATTTGTGCTTTCTATTGGTCCTTACTTTTCTATATTTTTGCTCCTTTCTTGCCTTTTTTTGAATGATTTTTTTCTCTTTCTCATTTCTTTTGTTCCTTTGATTATTCAGAAAGTTGTCCTCTTTGTCTTGTCTGTTAGTGGTTACCTTAGACATTTTAACCTGCATGCTTAGCACAGTCTTAGTTTCGTATTTCTACCCTCCTCCTGAAGACTGCTAGAACTTTAGAATGTTCTAAGTACAATTACACCCTTCAAACGCATATACTACTATTGTGCTTTTTTTTCCTTTTTCTAAACCTGCAAATTAGCCATTTTTATTTCTCTTATATAGTCAACTAGACAATGTTTGTTCAGATTTATGCATGTAGTTTCCAGTGGTTTTTCTCAGTATTTCTTCACACATCTCAAGCCTTCTATCTGGAATAAGTTTTTTTCTGCCAGAAACACGTACTTTGAAGTTTCATTAATGTGTATTGCTAGGAATATTGCCTTTCTGCTTTTTGTTCTATCATGGTCTTTATTTTGTACTCTGGAAAGATTGTTTTCCTGTACATAAATTTCTAAGTAGACAGTTATTTTCTCTCAGCACATTGACAATATTATTCCCGTTGCTTTAGGTTTCCATCATTTTTTGAAAAGTCAGCCATTAATTTAATTGTTTTGGGAGTTCTGGTCAAGATGGCAGAATAGACTGTCCTCAGCGTCACTCTCTCCCACAAATCAACCAATTTACAACTATAAAAATATAACATCAGCCAAGCTGGGGCCATTGGAGCTCAGGGGAAGAGGAGGAGAGACCTATGGAGTTCATGAAGGCAGGAGAAACCATGATGAGAGAAAGAAAAAGCTGCTCTGAGCATTTCCAGCTGTGGCTGCTTTAAGGTTTCAGCTGCTGAGCACATGGAGCAGGAGCTGGCAGAAGCCACAGCTGTGCCCTTCAGATGGAGTTGCTTGGAGGTGGCAGGTGAGAAGAGAGCCTTAGTGGCCCCCAGGACAGCAAGACCACTAATAGGGTTCCTGTGGACCCACGCAGGAACGAGGAGCAAGAACAGGTATAAAAGGGGAGCCATTCAGAGGCTGATAAGTCATCACAAGGGACTGGCACAGGGCCCATCCCATGGGAAGTGTTTGGAGTACGGGCAGTGGGGGAGACAGGCCCACTGGTAGAACAGTGGGACACAGCAAGGACAGTCGATCTGCCCCCAAGTCAGTGCAGGACTGCTCAGAGGAGACTGTTTGGGAATGAAGAATTGCATTGGGTACAGTTTGATGAAAAACTCAGGTCCAGATCAGAGTTTCTATACAACCTAGGTGCATTGGGTATCTGGAGAGCCGGAAGTACCTATAAGGTCAACCATTAAACCCTGAGCTGAACAAAAAGCCTTCCCTAGGGAAACAACAGCAAAACAGCAATTTAGCTCAACCACACAGCTCAAGTACTGGTTCCCAGAGGAAGTTCCCCCACTTAAGAAGTAAGCAAAGGACAAAAAATATTAGTTCCTGCCCAGGCACACCACCAGTGCCTTGGGGCCCACCAGGGGACATGAGTTCTGAAGCCAGGGGCTGGACCCCACTCCCACATCCAAGCATACTGCCAGTTTTTCGGGGCCTGCCCACAGGCCTGAGGCATAGAGAAGGGGAGTGGACCCCCCTCCTACAACCAGGCACACTATGCCAGTGCCTCAGGGCCCACCTGTGAACCTGAGGCATGGAGAAGTGGACTGGACCCCCCTTCCACAACCAGGCACACCACACCAGTGCCTTGGGGCCTGCCCAGGGACCTGAGGCATGGAGAAGAGGACTGGATCTCATCCCACAACCAGGCACACTGTGCCAGCACCTTGGGGCACACCTGTGAACCCAAGGTATGGAGAAGGAGACTGGATCTCATCCCACAACCAGGCACACTGTGCCAGCACCTCGGGGCCAGCCTGGGGACCCAAGGCATGGAGAAGTGTACCAGACCCCCCTCCCACAACCAGGCATACCACACCAGTGCCTTGGGACATGCCTGGGGACCTGAGATATGGAGCTGGGAACTGGATCCCCCTTCCAGAACCAGGCACACTGCACCAGCACCTTGGATCTGCCCAGGGACCTGAAGTATGGAGTTGAGGACTGGAACCCCTCCCACAACCTGGCACACCACACCTGCTACCTTGGAGCCCACCCAGGGACCTGAGGTATGGAGCTTGGGACCAGACACTCCCCACAACCAGGCACACTGCCAGCACCAAGGAGCATGCCAAAAACATCACCTCCATGTGGGTAGCCCACCACAGCCACCACCATAACCATGGCTGCCATGAAAGTAGCTAGATGCCACAATGACTATGCAGGTAGTCCACCAGCCACTGGAGTGTATTGACACAAAGAGAGTCACCAGCAGAGATAAAGAAAAGATGAGGAGGTCTCTCTCCACAAAGCCCATATCAGAGTGATAGAAGCATCTGCTCTATAATAATATTGGGGGACCTGAACACACCTCTCAGCATTGGACTGATCATCTAGGCAACAAATCAACAGAGTAACCATTATTCTTTAGAAGGAGAGAAGAAATCTAGGGTAATTAGATGGGGGAGGGGGAGGGAGAGAGGGATGGGGAGAGATTGGACAAGGGGTATAAAGAATAATTACAATTTGTAACAATACATATGCTAGTAATATTGATTTGATCAACATATCTCAGTGTCGAACCCCAAAAATATGTATAATCAATTTTGATTCATTAAAAAATTTTTTAAAATGTAGTTTCTTTGTCTTTTATCTTTATTTGCTTTAAATATTTTGTCTCTGTTTTTGGTTTTCTGCAGTTCCACATGATGAAACTCAGGTGGATTATTTATCATTTATCTTTTTTGTAACTGGTTAGATTTCTTGGATCTGAAGCTTGATATCTTTCAACAATTCTGAAAAATTTTCAGCTCTTATCTCTTCAAATATTTCCCCTTCCACATTTTCTGTTATATTCCCAATTTAGATGTGTGTCAGTCTTTCTCATTCTAACTTCAATGTCTCTTAATCCCTCTTTTATATTGTTCATCTCTTTGTTGCTCTGGACTGCATTTTAGGTAATTTATCTGGACTTATCTCCCAGCTTACAAATTTTCTCTCCAGTTGTGCCTGATATGCTGTTTAATCTGTATTAAATTCAATCCATCTTTTACAATTCTAATTAGTATATTTCTTATTTCTAGGAGTTCTATTTAAATCTTTCCCAAATCTGCTTGGTTTAACATTTTAATATTAAGTTAGTGTCTGTTAATTCAAGGAGCTGCCTTATTGTTTCTTCTTGCTCTCACTCATGGTGTCTTATTTCCCGGTACAGTTTTGTGAGTTTTGAATATGTGAAACTCATTTCTTTGAGGTTCTTTCACTGTGGAAGTTCTCTGAAGCCTGAGGAGATGCTCAGATCATCCAGGAGAACAACATCAACTGCAGAATGAGGTTTTTTGATCATTTAAATAGATTGAAACCCAGCTCTAATCCTGTCTGAAGGGTGGCTTATACTTAAGAATTCTCAAGGAATGGTCTTCCTCTTCTGCACAGCATCAACATCAAGGCAGGCAAGTTCCAACTGCTCCTTTCTGTAAGGATTAGTTACCATCTACCTTTATTCTGAGAGTGTAATCTTGCGGGGTTCTAGCTTTAGAGCGGGGTCTCCGTGACACCCTCTACCATAGGTGGGTCTTAGGCTTACTCTTCTCCCTCACACATCCTGAACAGCTGCCCAAACGCAGACCCATGGTCCCAGGATTCATCAGATCCTCTTGCATACCTCCAAGCTTCCAACTGTCAGAACATTTTGGCTTCTGCATGTTTGTCAACAATGATGCTTCTTCAGTGGCCACAGAGGGTGTGGTGGAGGCCATTGTAGGGGCACATTTGGATCACCTTTACTTGCTTCCATTTCCAGGTAGGATTTCAGTGTTACTAGAAGAGAGCTTTGTCTGCTTAAAAACTGTTGAAATGTTGAAAGCAATCAGTCACGGTCATCTGAAAGGTCCCAGTCCACAGTCTGAGGAGTCAGCCATCATCAGTCACTGATACATTCCCTACAAGTTTTAACCTCAGCCTGCCATATTATGAGCTCGGCAGCTCTGGGAAATGGTAAAGATGTCCCCCTGCCTCCCGGCTGAGAAGTGGCCACGGACCACCCCCAGCAGGCGCCGGTAGCGGAGCACGTACACGTATGGGGCCATGGCTCGGGGAAGCATCACAAGCACCTGGCTGTTGGCCGCCAGGAGCCACACATGCAACCTGGAGCCAATGTGTTGGTTCTTGGTCAGTAGGACATCCAGGGAGAACACCACCCCTGAGCTCACATACAGTGTGGTCAGCACAATGTGGATGAGCAAGGTGCCCCTGGCCCGGGAACAGCCCTGTACCCAGACGCCTGAAGTCTTGGCCTCTGCGAAGATCCTCCAGAAGCAGTAAGTGATGACAGCTGTGCAGAGAAACAGAACACACAACATGCAAGTGTGGGTGACAGCAACCAAGGGACCACAGCCTGGCTCGGGGCTCAGGCTCAGCGGCAGGATACACAAAGCCCCTCCTGCCTCTATCTGGGTATCCTGCCACTCGCCAAGCCAAAGGAGAAATGTGGGGAAGAGGCAGGCAACCAGCCAGATGAGGGCCACTGCCTTCCAGGCAGCCCCGTGGGATGTGAAGGCGAGGTAGTGCAGAGGTTGAGTGACTGCTAGGTAGGTGTGCAGTATGGTGGCTGTGAAGGACAGGATGGTGCTATTGTGGGCAATGAAGACGGCATCTGTAAAAACACCACAGGTGATTCTGCCCAGCTCCCAGCCGCCCAGGCGGCTGGTGCAGATGAACGTGTGGAAGAAAACGAAGACCAGATCTGAGAGCAGGATGTTGGCCAGCAGCAGGTAGTGGGGTTCCTGCCGCAGCTGCTGGCTCCGCAGGATGGTCAGCAGCAGCAGGGGGTTCAGGGCCAGCGTGGCTGCAGCCAGCAGGCTTGAGGGAAAGAAGACCCAGCGCAGCATGGAGATGGGCATGCTGAGGTCGGCGAGGTCCAGAGAGGTGTTGTTGTCTGCCAGGGGCATGTCAGATGTCTTGCTGATTCGCTGGACTGGGGCTGGCCAGGCCACAGTGCCCAGGGGGTAGATTGTCAGTTCATCCCCCATGCTTTTGACAGGAGTGGCCAGCTTTGTCACAAGTCTTTGGTTCTGCACCTGCCCAAGTCTTGATCTGCCCTGCAGGGGTCCCTATGGCCACTCCTTTGCAGAGATGCTGGGCTGGGGGAGGCCTCAGGAAGGGCTGTTTAACAAAGACAAAAACAACAATGTGAAAGTCAGCTTGCACATGGCTTCCTGCATTCACGCATGTCTCTGCAGCTCTACTGCTGCCGGTGGATGTGTTGGATCAGCCCATTGTCACCACTTGGCAGTCACTGACCTCTCCAGAAGTGTCTCCCATCTCAATGTCCCCCAGACTTGTCTGGTTGGCTCACAGGAAGTGGGCAATGAATGCTCCCCACATCGGACTGAATTCAGAACTACTCTGCTGGAAGGGAAGGCACAGCCACTGGGGATCTAGAATTTCAGGCTGGGCCTGTGGGCTGGGCCTCACCTCCGACCAGCTGGGGGCTCAAGGAATGGGTCCCGGCTGGAGGTACTGGTGAAAGGGCTCCAGCTCAGGTGAGCGGGCTCCCCCCAACCTCGAGGTGTTGGCTGTGTGGCCTTAAGAAGCTTGGCTCACTGCTCTGTCTTCCAGTGTCCTTATTGGTGAAACATGAATGCTCTCCGTACTGACCTCATGGAAATGTTGCAAAAACCCAGAGGTAAAGAACTTACACGGCATGTAGCTTGAGGTAAATGCCCAATAGATAAATGTTAGTTCCCCCACCTACAACATTCTCTGAGGCTTGGGGTCCCCTCTGCCCACAGACACCCTTGTTATCACTGCAGACGAGGTGCAGTAGGCTGCTTGTGCTCTTGAGACACCCGCCTTGACAGACCGATGGAGCTGTGGGGCAGGAACTGCACGGGAACCTTCCTGAGAGTGGGCAGAATATTCTTAGGCTCAGAGGGAGAAGGGAATTTCAGACGTTGGGCCCTGAGAGGCCCTGCCTCACAGCACAAATGCCACCCAGACCAGAGCCAGCGGGTGATGCAGCAGAACCTGCCTGGTCCATTGGCCGTGGGCCCATGGGCCACATGGGGCACGCATCTCCTGCCTGCCTTCTTTCACAGTGTGCTGTGGCATCCTCGTCCGTAGATGCGGAGGAGACCTGGCACTGCCTCTGATCACTAGCTGTGTGCTGTCGGCCCTATTGCTTTATCCCTCTGTGTCCCTGCTGAGGGCCTGTGATGCCAATTCGCCTGTCTTGGAGGGCTGTGGCAGGTCACCATAGATGCCGATGCTCGCCACGAGGTGGCTTTTTTCTCAGCACGCTCCACTGACTGGCTCTTTCTGCCCTCATTCACCTGGGACACAGAGCAAGCGGTGAGGCAGAGGCTGCACGGCTCCCAGGCTCACACGCGGGGAGAGCCAGGACGCTGGGCCACGGGAGCCCGGGGAGCTTGGCCCGAGACTTGTTCTTCTCACCTACAAGGCCTTTCCTCCTGTGAGCGTTGTTCCTCCCTTTGGAGCCAAAGGCCCTTGCTCGCTGGGACCATGCTCTTCTCTGACATCAGTTACAGCATCTGCCAGAGCAGCTCCAGCCACGCCTGCGCCCTGAAGGCAGATCATGGTAATGACCTCCAGGGTGGTTCTGAGGAAGCGCATCTCCCTCTCCAGAGAAACGGCTGCACCCAAGGCCCGCCCACCTCCCTGCCCCCTCTGTCCTGGTCTGCACTCCCTGGGGTGTCCCTAGCACTCCTATGGATTCCATTACAGGTGTAGCTGGCCCCAGGCCCAGGAGATGGCGCAGAGCCCTCCCCAGCACACACCCTGGATGGTGGCATTGAAGGCCCAAGGCCATGCCACACTCTGCTGCCCAGTCCAGCAGAACAACACTCACCGGCCCCCTGGCTTCTGTCTTGCCCTCACAGGCCCCATCTTAGAATGCAGTTCCCTGGGAGAGGCAACTGGTTAATGACAGCCCCTTGGTAAATATGTGGCTGGGAGATAAATCCTTCTTATAGCTGGCGACAGAGTGACAAGCTCCATGGCAACGGAAAGAGTATGACTCTAGTGATGCTAAGTGTAATAAAGAGCCTGCCCTCCACTGAGAATCATTTACGACTTAAAAACAACGCCTAACACTGTGAGGGTGCTGTCCCCAAGAGAACACCAGTTTAGCCTCACTAGTCCTGAGTTCCCCCTCCCAGGCTGCCCCTCCTGGGAAAACACAGGCTGACATAGCTGTGGGATCACCCAGAGCCAGCCCTGCTCAGCAGTTGGAATGTGCCCTGGGGTCACAAAGCTGGCTGTGGGGGGATGACCATAGCATTACCCCTCCCTGGCTGGTGACCCCACAGCCTTTGACAGCTCTGTCCCATTCCCCATACTCATTACTAGTCAGGACAGCCCTGCTGGTGTTGTGGGTCTGAGTGAGTCCATGTGTGTGCTGACACAGATGGGTGCACAGCACAGGCCAGAGAATCTTATCACATCACTTTGGAAACTGAATCTTGGCCATTCGTGGCACTCCAAGGAAGCTGGGGATAAACTGAAACTGTGAGAGAGCCTGATGCAAACATGTTTCAACCACACAATGGGCAGGCCCACCAGTCCTCTCCCCAGGCATCACGGAGTACCTACTGCATGCAGACACCGGCCACATCATCTCACAGAAATGCCAGACTGCTCCGTGGAGCATGATGGGCTGCAGGTGGGAAACTGAGGCCCAGGGAGTTTAATTGCCTTGTTTAAGGTCACATCTTAAGAGAGTTCAGTATCAGTAAGAAGCCATCCTTCCTGAGATATGCAGAGTCCCTGTTGCTGTGTCCCCCAGAATTGGCAGAAGGACAGGAGGGGTTAGTTACTTACTGTGGCATCAGAACAAGGCTTGGGGGGGTCAGGATGTGGGAAGCAGGCAGTAGCAGAGATGCCTGAGACTTCCTCAGCAGGATCCCCACATTCACACGGCTGCTCCCACAGGCAGCTGGCAGCCAGAACTACCAGGTCTGAGAGAATGATTTAAGCAGGGGATCTTGGTTTCCTGGAAGAAATCCAATGTCCCTCAGCAACTGGTCATGTCACCTGACCAGGCTGCAGGAGCAGAGGAAATCTCCACCCCCTGGGCTCTCATCACTGCACGTCTGGATGCATGCATGTGTGGCAGGGGTAAAGCATGGGGAACTAACAGGGCAACTATGGGGTGCCAGTCACTTTTATACATTTAGTTTCATCCTCAGGAACTCTGCTAAGGATGAAGAAATTGAGGTGTGCATGAAGTCAATGAATTTTCCAAAGGCCACCTAGCAAATAAGTGGCAGAGCATAGGAGTGTCTCACTCCAAATCCTGTGTAATCTCCATCCTTGCTCCATCAGTTTCCTGAATGGTCTTCCTGCGTCTGCCTTCCTGGCTGGCATTGGCACTGGACTCAGCATCTTCATCGTCTCCATCAGCATCTCAGTCAACACAACTTCATCACCATTATTATCACCATGTCTTCATTACTGTCATCTTCACACTCAGCCTTATCTCATCACCCTCCTCATCACCATCCTCCTCCTCACCACCACCACCATCACCATCATCACCATCCTCCTCCTCACCACCCCCACCATCACCATCATCATGATCCTCCTCCTCACCACCCCCACCATCACCATCATCATGATCCTCCTCCTCACCACCCCCACCATCACCATCATCATGATCCTCCTCCTCACCACCCCCACCATCACCATCATCATGATCCTCCTCCTCACCACCCCCACCATCACCATCATCATGATCCTCCTCCTCACCACCCCCACCATCACCATCATCATGATCCTCCTCCTCACCACCCCCACCATCACCATCATCATGATCCTCCTCCTCACCACCCCCACCATCACCATCATCATGATCCTCCTCCTCACCACCCCCACCATCACCATCATCATGATCCTCCTCCTCACCACCCCCACCATCACCATCATCATGATCCTCCTCCTCACCACCCCCACCATCACCATCATCATGATCCTCCTCCTCACCACCCCCACCATCACCATCATCATGATCCTCCTCCTCACCACCCCCACCATCACCATCATCATGATCCTCCTCCTCACCACCCCCACCATCACCATCATCATGATCCTCCTCCTCACCACCCCCACCATCACCATCATCATGATCCTCCTCCTCACCACCCCCACCATCACCATCATCATGATCCTCCTCCTCACCACCCCCACCATCACCATCATCATGATCCTCCTCCTCACCACCCCCACCATCACCATCATCATGATCCTCCTCCTCACCACCCCCACCATCACCATCATCATGATCCTCCTCCTCACCACCCCCACCATCACCATCATCATGATCCTCCTCCTCACCACCCCCACCATCACCATCATCATGATCCTCCTCCTCACCACCCCCACCATCACCATCATCATGATCCTCCTCCTCACCACCCCCACCATCACCATCATCATGATCCTCCTCCTCACCACCCCCACCATCACCATCATCATGATCCTCCTCCTCACCACCCCCACCATCACCATCATCACCATCCTCCTCCTCACCACCATCACCATCATCACGATCCTCCTCCTCACCACCATCACCACCATCACCATCATCACCACCATCACCATCACCACCACCATCACCACCATCACCATCACCACCATCATCACCACCACCACCATCACCACCATCACCATCACCACCACCATCACCACCATCACCATCACCACCACCGTCACCACCATCACCATAATCTTTCTCCTCCTCTACACATCAGCATCATCATCACCATCACATCATCAACATATTGCTCCTATATTAAACAAAACTCTCCAGTGGTTTCTCATTGCTCTTAAGATAAAAACCAAGATCTTTATCCTGATGCACAAGACCTAGTGCAGCTCCTCACATTCCCCTCCCTCCCTCTTCTGTCCTCTGTGCTCCAGCTCTCTTGCTTCCTTTCCAGTACTTAAAGGACACAAAACCCTTGTTCCTGAGGACATTGCTACCGTCTTTGCACACTTCTCCTCAACCAGATCT